GTGTCTGCACTCTCAGGGAATACACGGACCAAAACTTAGCCCTCTTTTGGAATTTGCACTTTTCCAAATTTAGCAACAAATTTAGTTCTCCCGCTGAGTAATGTGCACATCCTATGGGAAAGTGTGCATAAGAAAGGATAGATAAGTGAAAACGACATACAAAACTGCGTGCTGTTAGGGGAAATTGCTTTGCGAAAATGGGGATCTTAGGATAAATTCACACGAAAATGCTGACAAATTTTTGTGATGACTTTAAAAAAAACAGATCACAAACTGATGTGGAAATGTGGAGAACTGCGAATGCTTCCTATACACAAACACACTTGTGTCTAATCCTCCTTTTCTCCCTACAGGTGTGGGATCGTCACAGACGTCACACTGGGCTCCCTCAGTAGCTTCAACTGCAACTGGCTCAGGGGCCGCTATGTGAGCATCCACCTTCCCCGCCATGGTTATATGACGCTGTGTGAAGTGGATGTCTATGGAGCTGTAGCAGAAGAGATGCGTTAGGGATCACCAGCAGTCTCTGCGTTGGTGTGTTCAGGGTGTGTGGCTGTCAAAGACCAAGGATGCGTCAACCAACGCCACAGTCCTCCTTTCAGCAAGCCCCCTTTCCTCTACTTCTCCAGCAGCTTCTCAGGGCCCTGAGAACCAACAAGGGCTGTGCTTTTGCTCCTGCCACAAAGCGTAGACCAAGCATAGGCAAACCCAGCCCTCCAGATGTTTTGGGACTTCAACTCCCACCATCCCTGACCACTGGGGCTATTAGCTAGGGATGATGGGAGTTGTAGTCCCAAAACATCTGGAGGGCCGAGTTTGCCTATGCCTGGCGTAGACCAAGACACTGCTGAAAACCCATCACGGCAAGAATGAAGTCTTTCCCCGCCATAGTGTTGAGCCCCATACTCTAAGGTTACCAGACGTCCCCGTTTCCCAGGGACAGTCCCCGAATTTACAAATCAGTCCCCTGACAAAATCCATCTATTTAATAGGAAGTTGTAAAGTGTCCCCGGATTCATTGAAAAACATCTGGTAACCTTACCATACTCTGCAGCCCTGCTGCCAGGTCCCCTATGGCACAATATAATTGGCACCAGGCACCAGGTTGGCAGAAGCTAACTAGAACTTAAAAACCTTGCACTGAAGGTGTGTAAAAATTCAACTTTTGTGCCATATGAGCTGTAACCTGTTTCTGCTCCAGACAGTGTAGATCCACCATTCCCAATGCAGAGCCCACAGAAGATGAAGTACCTGCTGTGGTGCCCACTAATACCTCCCTTGGTGCCCTCTGCCCACCTGAGATTGAATTTGTTGGCTTTTTACTGAGGGATGGTGTCAAGCATGTGTCATGGTGTGTGTATGCCATTCTGAACTTTTCCCCATGGTTCAGTACAGAATTCTCAAGGTTCCATGGTTTATTTCTGTAGATCGTGACATGTGTAAAAGTTGGCATGGCATCATATAAAACACGCCCCTCAGTTAACTTTCTTGACCCTGGTGCAAGTCTTTGCCTTGAATGTGCCCTGGAACTTGAGGTCCAGATCAGTGCAGTAATCAGGTGTTGGCCACGACATTTGATTCACATCTCCTGTGAAAAGAATGGGTTCCACACAGACAGTACTAAGATAACCTTGGAAAGAGAACCAGTTTGGCCATTTCTTACTGGGATTATATCGGTTCAACTACCAATGAACAAAATGTGAAACAGACAGGAACTTAATAGGAAACAATAGAATAAATAGGTTATAATGTGTGCTGGGCCCGGGGTTAACCCGAGCAACGCGGTCCAGGTCCGGTCCCAAATCCAAGGGAGGAGTCAGTCCGACAGGGCCAAGACAGGACACGAGGCAGGAAACCAGGCAAGGGCAGGCACAGGATCTCAGGCAGGTTCCAGCAAGCAGCAATGTTGCTCCCGCAACCTGGGGCGGGGTCCGACAGACTTTTATCTCTGTCGGGGTAATGGCCGGTCCTGATCCCCCGGCGACTCACCTCCCTGTCTCACCTGAAGGCGAGCACTCCTCCTGCGAGTACTCAGGTCCCTCCTTCTCTCAGACCTCAGTCTCTGCAGCTCGGGAGACGTCGGTGGATTACTAGACCCAGAGGCCGCCTCAGCCTCCCCTGACCCAACCGGTAGCGGAGCAGCTGTAAGTGATGGCCCAGCTGAAGGCAAGGAGGTCATCCCAGCATCTGGAGCCAGGGCAGGCTCAGGCCCCTGACTCAGCCCAGCTGGTGCTTGTTCCAGGGGAACCTGTGCAGACTGGGACTCTTCAGGATCAGGCCCCAGACTTGGTTCAGATGCCACCTGAGGCAGAGGATCCAGTGCGGACTGAGACTCCTCCGGTTCTGAGCCCAAGCCCGAGTCCCAGGCCATCACATAATGAATGACTTATCCCAAAGACCCCCTGCCCTCTCCATCATCTAACGTTGGCTCAAAAGAATATTTACATCCTAGGTTAACCATGCCTGGTTAGCTCCCACAGGATTAGAGACCTTCTTGTCACCAACCGACACACCACTTTGCTTCTTTAGGCTTTCCATGGGGATCCTTCTTCCTCTTAGACCAAGGAGCATAGGCCCCCTAGGAATAGCTGCCTGCTTCTCTTGCAACTTTGCTGCCTGAAGCAGCACTCGTTTGCTCTTGTCGCTTTCCTTTCATGCAATAAACCCGCCTTTGTCCATTCCTCTCGTGAGTGAACTTATTGGGGTCCAAGGCGAGGCTTCTCTTGAGGCCACCGTTCTCCCTCTTTCCCCATGCCAAACCAAGGATTTTCCTTTCCCTGAAGCTGTGGTGTCCTCTGGGGCTCAGGCCACATTCTCTGTCACACACCTTTGGGATACCTGGCTGGCCACAGTGAGAACATGATGCGGGATGAGATGGTCTGTGGCCCCTCCATGGGCAGCACTTGCATGACATGGATCAACCCAGCCCATCAGAAAGGTGTTGACACCACTAGGATCTAGGGATCAAGATCAGGTTTTGACGTCCTTCATCTGAGTAGGGTCTGAGTGGGCTTGTGTGGTTTCTGACTCTCTCCCAAGAGGAAATAACGGCACCTCCTTGGCAGGAGATGATTTTAGAAGAAGACATCCTCATTCCATTTATCCCATTTAGAGGTCAGATGGGTGCCAGACTTGAGTACTGATACTAGCAGGTCCCAGCCACATCAGCTAAGCTCCAAAATGAACACTTTGTGGTCAGCCTTGTGGAGGGAGGGGTGCTTCCCTTTTGAAATGGCCTCTACAAACCCATGGAAACGTCTCTGCCTCCCTCCCCTGGCAGAGGGTAGGCAAGTTAGCAGCAGACAGTCTAGGTTTCCCTGAGCCCTGCAGCTTTGACTAGTCACGTAAACCAGGTGAGGTTTGCCCATGGGTCACAAACCCTCAGTGAGTTAGGGACCACATGCAAAAGCAGGCTCCAGCAGGTTGACTGGATGAGGCCAAGAGTGGATACTATGGTGAAGAAGGAGGTTCCTCCACATGCTTTACAGGAAAGTGAGGGATGGATGGGGGCTCATCAGCTTGGGAAGGTAGCTCTCCTTGTTGCTGTTTAGTCGTTTAGTTGTGTCCGCCTCTTCGTGACCCCCTGGACCAGAGCACGCCAGGCACTCCTATCTTCCACTGCCTCCCGCAGTTTGGTCAAACTCATGCTGGTCGCTTCGAGAACACTGTCCCACCATCTCGCCCTCTGTCATCCCCTTCTCCTTGTGCCCTCCATCTTCCCCAACATCGGGGTCTTTTCCAGGGAGTCTTCTCTTCTTGTGAGGTGGCCAAAGTCTTGGAGCCTCAGCTTCAGGATCTGTCCTTCCAGTGAGCTCTCAGGGCTGATTTCCTTCAGAATGGAGAGGTTTGATCTTCTTGCAGTTTATGGGACACTCTGGTCCTAAATCTCTGCTGCTTTGGGGGATATCTTTAGGAGAAAAAAAGGCTAAGAAGTAACCCTACCCAAATTTGGAGTGGAATCCCTAAGGCAATTGGATGACGCCTTGTATACCTCCTTCCGGCGATTCCTGCAGCCAAGCTGGTGCAAAATGTATTTCTCTGCTAGCCTTTGGTCCACATCAGCAAGATGTGTCTTGCGTCTTGCTGTCTGGGCAGCCTGGGACCTCCATACAGATTGCCCAGGCTTGCACCCTGAGGAGGTCCGTTTGGTGCTCCTGATGCAATGGTTTGACTTCACCTCCAGGGACTCACTCCTTTGTCTCTTGAGACTGACAGAGGCCAGCAATAACAGCAACCATTCCCACTCTCTTCTGTCAGAATTACCGGTATCTATGACCTATGTCTTTGTCCATGGAGTTTTCCATGTCTTTGTCCATGGAGTTTTCTCCAGGGATACTGGAGTGGCTTGCCGGTTCCTGCTCCAGGTGGATCACGTTTAGTCAAAACTCTCCACTATGACCTGTCTATCTTGGGTGGCCCTGCACGGCAGAGTTCATAGCTTCTCTGAGTTATTCAAGTCCCTTCGCCACGGCGAGGCAGAGCTCTGGTTTTTCCAGTAGTGATGTATGGAAGCGAGAGCTGGACCATAAAGAAGGCTGATCGCCGAAGAATTGATGCTTTTGAATTCTGGTGCTGGAGGAGACTCTTGAGAGTCCCATGGACTGCAAGAAGATCAAACCTCTCCATTCTGAAGGAAATCACTGGAAGGACAGATCCTGAAGCTGAGGCTCCAAGACTTTGGCCACCTCATGAGAAAAGAACTCCCTGGGAAAGTCCCTGATGCTGGGAAAGATGAAGGGCACAAGGAGAAGGGGACGACAGAGGACGAGATGGTGGGACAGTGTTCTCAAAGCTACAAACATGAGTTTGACCAAAGTGCGGGAGGCAGTGGAAGACAGGAGTGCCTGGCGTGCTCTGGTCCAGGGGGTCACGAAGAGGCGGACACGACTAAATGACTAAACAACAACAATGACCTATGTAAGTGGAGTGCCAGAGGGCAGCTAAGGCGTCAATGCTTACTGGCCAAGATGGCTCTGTTCTTCCTCCTCTGTCATAGATGATCTACCTCTGAATGCCAATTTCTTGGGCATCACAAGTAGCGAGAGCTCTGTTGCACTGCCCTGCGCCTTGTGGGCTTCCCACGGGCATCTGGTTGGCCATTGAGAGAACAGGATTCTGGACTCTGGTTGGATCCAGAAGGTTCATCTGAAGTTCTTAAGAGAGCCTCTTGACCTCACACAGGTCTCAGTCCCTCCCCACCTATGACTGCATCACCAAAGCACATCCACGCTCCCTCCACAAGACTGTTTACTCTGGAGCTTAATGGGCAAGGGACACAGCCAAAATAAACACTCATTTTAGGATTTGCTTGTTCCAAACATGCATTGATTGATAATTTGAAGTCTTTCCTTTGGCACCTGCTAGAGAGGAATGTTATTTCCTCCTGTGGGAGGGAGCTAGCAACCCAGTTGGAGATGGGGGTGGGGTGTAGGTGTAGGTCCCAGAGTTCAAAGAGTTCAGAAACTGGATTTTTTGTTCTTGAGGGCATGTTACAAATCCATGAGGACTTCCAGCTCTTTGGAGAATGACAACTGCATGGTAATTCAGCAAGTCCAAATCTGAATTGAACAAGGTTTACATGTTGTTGACATGCCAGGCTGTTCAATGGCACTTTGAATTCGCCTCCCTGCCTGTCTTTAACCTCAGCCCTCCCACTGTCTTTCTTAGAATTCTTCAGGCTGTCGGACCCTAATTTCAGATGCTGAGTTCATGGTTCCCGTACAGGACCCAAGCCCAGTTTCCCATGGTGTTTGGGTGAGGAAACATGCAAAATTCTGTGGCTGAGGAATCTTTGGGGATGGAATTTCCCCCACAGACCAACAGCATTTTGATGATAATGATTAAAATTTCTATATTGCCCTTCAACTGAGGATCACAAGGTGGTCACAAATTTAAAAAATTGTCCAGTAGCACCTTAGAGATCAGCTAAGTTTGTTATTGGTATGAGCTTTCGTGTGCATGCACACTTCTTCAGATACACTGAAGCAGAAGTCACCAGACCCTTATATATAGTGGGAGGGTGGGATGGGGTATTACTCAGAAGGGTAGTGGGATATGGGTGATTGACTCAATGGGTACGGTAAACCTGTTGATGACTGTTAACGATTGCAATTTCTTTCCATGGTTCATTTTACATATCATAAATCCCTGCACATTTTATTCAAAAAAACTATACCATTCAGTATTCCATTATTATTGCATCCAACATAACTTATTTACACTGTTGAATTTATATTAATGCTGCCAGCGTTTTCAGCTGTATACAATTCTTTTCCATATATTCAATAAGCGTTTTCCAATCTTCTTTAAATGTATGTTCTTCAAGAAGAACAAACCAAGTGTTTCACAGGGGTGAGACCCCACCTCCAGAGAGAGAGGACAGCTGTGGGAAAGAGTGGTCTTTGCTGCTGTGAAGCAGCCTTGATCTTTGGAGTAGGAAAATCTACTGTTGCAGAAATGCTACAGAGCCTGGGCATCGAAGCAGAAAAGACAACCTTACTGTGAGGGACTTTTAATTATATTTTAAAATGTTTTTGGTCGTTTTAAAATCTGTATGACTCCCAAGAGTCCTGCTTCTGTGTGCGTCACGTCCCTTCAGGGACTTGTCTCCTGCACTGGGTGGTCTTCCTTCTCCCTATGGACACCCCTCACCCTCAACACTGTTTCAGGACATATCGCTCTGCTCTGTTGAGAAATTCCTCATCTTGCCCAATAGCTTGAAGTGTGCAGGCCTCACGTTGTCCTACCTTCTCTTTCAGCAACGCAGCTAGGTCACACTCGCTGCAGGTGAAAAGGGACCCCTGACCGTTAGGTCCAGTCATGGCCGACTCTGGGGTTGCGGCGCTCATCTCGCTTTACTGGCCAAGGGAGCCGGCGTACAGCTTCCGGGTCATGTGGCCAGCAGGACTAAGCCGCTTCTGGCGAACCAGAGCAGCACATGGAAACGCTGTTTACCTTCCCACCAGAGTGGTACCTATTTATCTACTTGCACTTTGAGGTGCTTTCGAACTGCTAGGTTGGCAGGAGCAGGGACCGAGCAATGGGAGCTCACCCCGTCGCGGGGATTCAAACCGCCAACCTTCTGATCGGCAAGTCCTAGGCTCTGTGGTTTAAGCCACAGTGCCACCCGCGTACTTGTGCGCATTTTCAGCCAGGAAGACGAGCATGGCACAGGTGTTGCAGAGGACTGCAGTAGCTCCCTCACCAGCCATGTCTCTTGGCCCTATGCACACTGTGAGACAGCACTTGGCCAGTCCAGGGATGTGGATGGAGTCTCTCAGAGCAACCATAGAGCCATTTACAGTATAAGGTAGTGATGGATCCAAGGCTGGTGTTTGTGATGCTGACACAGCTGCCCAGAGAACATGGAGGTGAGCCATGGAGTGGTAGGAGTTCAAAACAACTCATTCTTCTTCCACAAGGCCGACCAAAAAGTGTTCATTTTGGAGCTTAGCTGATGTGGTTGGGACCTGCCAGTATCAGCGCTCAGTTTGGCACCCATCTGACCTCTAAATGGGATAAATGGAATGAGGATGTCTTCTTCTAAAATCATCTCCTGCCAAGGAGATGCCGTTATTTCCTCTTGGGAGAGAGTCAGAAATCACACAAGCCCACTCAGAACCTGCTCAGATGAAGGATGTCAAAATTTGATCTTGATCCCCAGATCCTGGTGTCACCATCTTTCTGATTGGCCAAGTTGAGCCACGTCAGGCAAGCGCTGTCCATTGGGAAGGGGATAAAACCTGGAGGTGCAGGACTCCTCTGGAAGCAGGGAAGTCTCAGTTCCAGTTTGGGGAGAAGAACCTGTGTCTCCTGTCCCACCAAGAGCAACAGACGCTTCTGCAGAGCCCAAGAAAGAGAAGTAAGGTAAGTTGAGAAAACCCACTGGATATGATTATTGAAGTCTAGAACTTCCTCCGCAAAAAAGAAGGTCCTGATCCTTATTGGGTAGATCTAAAGCTGTATATTTACTTTTTTTAAAGCCTGTTAATTGATTGTTAGGGATCTCCAGCACTTTGGAGAAGGACAGTTCCTACGGCCAGCCTAGTCACAGATTCTGAATTCAGGACTCTTAGCTATCATCCAAGTCCCGCAATGGTGCTAAAGGGCATGACTCCATTACTGGCTCCTCGCTCACTGCCTTCTGTTCTTCCCCTTGCAGGATGATCCTCACTCGGACTTGGCTGCTGGCCCTGGTGTTCCTGGCCGGATTTTGGGTGACCCAGAGCTGCGATTCTGAAGTGCAACATTCTAGTAAGACCTGGGGAGAGAGAGGGGAAAGTGGGGCGGGTCTGTGGGCGAAGCTAAATGGTTCCCCTCCCTGTGATCACTCTTATTCCTGCCCAAACCAGTAGCTTATAAGCTGCTTTGTGATGGTGAATAATAATAATAATAATAATAATAATAATAATAATAATTATACCCGCCCATCTGGCTGGGTTTCCCCAGCCACTCTGGGCAGCTTCCAACACAATATTAAAATAAAGTAATGCATCAAACATTAAAAGCTTCCCTAAACAGGGCTGCCTTCACATTTCGTCTAAAAGTCAGGTAGTTGTTGTTCTCTTTGACATCTTGGCTTCTCACAGGGAGCGAACCGCCAGAAGGCCCTCGGAGCTGGACTTCAGTGTCTGGGCAGAACGATGGGGGTGGAGACGCTCCTTCAGGTATACTGGACCGAAGCCGTTTAGGGCTTTCAAGGTCAGCACCAACACTTTGAATTGTGCTCGGAAACATCCTGGGAGCCAGTGTAGGTCTTTCAAGACCAGTGTTATGTGGTCCCAGCGGCCGCTCCCAGTCACCAGTCTAGCTGCTGCGTTCTGGATTAATTGTAGTTTCCAGGTCACCTTCAAATGTAGCTCCACATAGAGCGCATTGCAGTAGTCTAAGCGGGAGATAACCAGAGCATGCACCACTCTGGTGAGACAGTCTGCGGGCAGGGAGGGTCTCATCCTGCTTACCAGATGGAGCTGGTAAACAGCTGCCCTGGACACAGAGTTGACCTGCGCCTCCATGGACAGCTGTGAGTCCAAAATGACTCCCAGGCTGCGCACCTGGTCCTTCAGGGGTACAGTTGCCCCATTCAGGACCAGGGAGTCCTCCACACCCATCTGCCTCCTGTCCCCCAAAAACAGTATTTCTGTCTTGTCAGGATTCAACCTCAATCTATTAGCCACCATCCATCCTCCAACCGCCTCCAGACACTCACACAGGACCTTCACCGCCTTCACTGGTTCTGATTTGAAAGAGAGGTAGAGGTGAAAACTTGGACGTCCTCTTACTCAATGGGTAGGGGGATGATATTTTCCCATGATCCATTTCAAAGCCTGAAGGGTGAACCGAGTCTTGAACCATCAGCTGACAAGCCATGATGGGACAGTGAAATTTCCCCCTGCGTCAAGCTATAGGACCCAGACTGTTCCCTGCAAGGGGAGAGCAGAAAGTAAACAGAAGGTTGCCTGAGAGCGCGGGGAGAAGCGGCAATAATTATACTCTTGATCATTTTGCATTATGTAATCTCCACTCCCCTACCAGGGCATAATTGGCATCCACAGCAAAATGTAGCCACTTGTCCAAAATGGTTGGTGACATTTGATCTGAGAGATCCTTCACGTCTGTGGATGTTTGGGTTACCTGGCCCAGAGATATTTAGGTCTTTGAATGTTAGAAACAAGACCTTGAACATATCCGCAACCAGAAAGAAGAGGAGACACAAGAAGACTGGAAGAAATTTAAAGAATACTTAGCTAAATATTGTGGTGCAAGATACGGTAAATAGAAAATTCTTGGAAGTATCAAATAGGCTTAGGGGTAGAATAAAAATAGGTCTTAGTAAGTATTAAAGATTGGAATAATAATAAAGGAGAAGAAGTTTGTAAATGAAAGGAGTTAATATTATTAGAAATATATTTGGAGAACTGCTATAAAAGTGATATAATGAAATTCAGTTAGAGGGGATTTGAGGAAGTCACCAATTAATGTGAAGAAGTTGGGTATTAGAAGAAATAATCTTTTTTATATGTGTTTAGTTTATTGTTGTGTTTTCTTTGTTGATTGTTTTTATGTTTGTATGTGTTTGTGGGATGTTTTAAATGTTGAAAGTCAATAAAAAAATTTGGGGGGGGGGGAAGAAACAAGACCCTGAACATGGCCTGGCAGGTGACTGGCAGTTCTCTCAGCACAGGTGTCATATGTCTGCATGCGGACCTGGTTGAAATATTCTGCACCCATTACAGTAGTCCAGTTGTGACATCCCCAACGCATGAATCACAGCGGCCCAGCTATCCCTGTCTGAGAAAGGGCACAGTTGATGTACCAGCCTAAGGTGACAATGGGTTCTTCATGCCACAGAGGTCATATGAAGCTCCAGGAAGAAAGATGCATTGAGGAATTTCCCCAAACTCTGTTCCTCATCACAACCCCATCCAAAGCTGATGAATTCCACACCTGGAAACTGGTCACCCACAAATTGCCAGAATTATTGATTATTTAGTGGGGAGTTTTACTGGCAAATGCAATATAAATTTTGTAAAACAGAATGGCATTTATTCCTGGCTTATTGGCATTGCTGTTATCTGTAGGTTAACTGCTAGTTCTTACGATGAAGGAAAAGTAGAAGCATCTGGGTGGCCACTGGGAGAACAGGATTTTGGCCTGATCCTGCTGCGTCAGGGCTCTTCTTGTGTTCTTACTTCTCCCCGTCTTCTTTCCATCAAGCTGTTGCTCCAGCTGTCAACTTGGCCAGAGGCCGCCCAGCCTGTCAGTCCTCCACTTACCCCCATCCAAGAGATGCATCAGCCGGCAAAGCTGTCGATGGGAACTCTGACGGGCTCTTCTTCCATGGCTCCTGCACCCACACCAACTCTGAAGATGCCCCGTGGTGGTATGTGGACCTGGGGGAGCAGTATTCCATCTCCACCGTGGTGGTGAAGAACCGCATGGACTGCTGCGGCAGTAGACTCCTGGGAGCCCAGATCCGTGTGGGAGACTCCGTGGCTGACCATGGCAAGACCAACCCTCTGTAAGTTCCAGTTGCCTCTTGGGAGACACCCTCAAGATCACTTGCTCTGGATTAGTTAACTTCATATATATATATATACATATATATATATATATGCATGCGAGTGGCACTGTGGGTTAAACCACAGAGGAGGAATGGATGTTCTCCCAGAATGTCTGCTTTATATACATTATTTACACAATGGGCCCCACATGATTGGCTAATTCCAGGATTCTCCTGTAGGCCAATCAGGTTGTGGATTCACTTCCAGCTGGAGCTGGATTGGGTGGCTCCTGCGGACCAATCACACTGCTGCATTCTGAATCCTATTGTTCTAGGACCAATTGGACCCTTTTGGATCCTATTCAACTCAGTACATAACACCTATCTTCCTCAGCAAGCACAAAGCTGAGCTGTTCCCTTTGACACCTCTCCATCCTGCCCCCTGCACCAGTTATTTAGTACATACCCCACTGGTGGGCTGCCCACTTTGACCCTCTAGATGTTGTTGGGCTACAGCTCTCATCATCCATAGCTATCGGCCATGCTGGTTGATGGGACTAGAGCCCAACAATATCCAGAGGTCCACAGATTAGCTATCCTGTCATACAACAACACTGACCATGCGATCCTCCGAGATGGACCGTGTGGGGTGGAATCTGAGGTTCTGTTCCTACCTGCATGGTCAAGTCCAGAGAGTACCATCAGGGAGTGCTTTAGGAATCCCGGGCAGCTGTTCTACAGGGCTACCACAGCCATAGAAATAGATGGAGTCATTCTGAATTGCTTCCACCGCAAGGCTGACCTCCCTTTTCCCTCTGCAGCTGTGGGAAGATTACAGATTATAATCGTGGCTCCATCAGTGCCATCAACTGCCAGGGGATGAAGGGTCGCTATGTGAGCGTGAACCACCCAGGAGAGCCAGCTATCCTGACCTTGTGTGAGGTGGAAGTTTATGGGACAAAGGTGGAGGATGCGCCTTTGGAATAAGCAGCCATGCGTCGCGTGGAAAGGGGCACGGGCAGAACTGATGGAATCGGTGTTGGTTGTCCAATAAATATCCTTTGAGCACCCTTCTTTTGTCTCTCCAGTTTGTTCGTCAGAACCAAGGGGGTCTGTGATTTTGCCAGAGCCATAGAGGAGGCCAAGTGACGCCTTGTGGAGACTGCAAGTCCTATTTGCCAGGGATCCCTCACAGAGAACTAGTCGCACAACGAGGGAGGCCAGAGAATTCTGCTCTTTGATGACATGGATGTAGAAATCCCACCTGTGTGCATTATTCTTCACTATTCAGGACCAGAACTCCTGATTGCTCCTCACATCTGATGATAGTGCAGGGAAGGGTTAACACTGAAGATTATCTCTCTCTCCACCCCAACACACAATTTCCTAAAGCTGTTATCATGAACCTTGGTAGAAGTTTAGGACCCATCAGGAAGAGGTTAATTGATGGGCCCTTATTGACTTTGAAAGAAGGAAGAGTCAAGGTGTATATGTAAGACAACACTCTCAAACAAGTTTGTGTTACTGTTGTGGTTAGGAAAAGAAGTGGAGTGGATGGCTTTTTTAAATCAAAAGTGCCCTAAAATCAAAACACCATGAAAAAAATGGAATCCAGACGCTTGAAACGCCTGCCACAAGGGAAACAAGCAATACCGTATTTTTCGCTCTATAGGACGCACCCGACCATAGGACGCACCTTGTTTTAGAAGGGGAGAACAAGAAAAAAATTCTCCCCCTCTCTGCTCAGCGCCCCTTCAGCGAAGCAGCAGGAGAAACGGAGCCCCTTCCATTTCTCCTCCCGCTTGGCTGAAGGGGCGCTGCGCAGCTCTCCCTCTCTGCTGAAGCCAGGAGAGTCTTGCTCTCCCGGCTTCAGCAAAAGGAACCCGAAGCCTTTGGAGTGCAGCACGAGTTCCCGGCTATCCCTGAAGCCTGGAGAGTGAGAGGGGTCGATGCGCACTGACCCCTCTCACTCTCCAGGCTTCAGCGAAAGTAATGCGAAGCCTCCGAAGCGCGGAGGGAGCGCTCCCTTTGCACTTCGGAGGCTTCGCATTGCTATTGCTCAAGCCAAGTAGCCTGCATTCACTCCATAGGACGCATACACATTTCCCCTCAATTTTTGCAGGGGGAAAAGTGTGTCCTATAGAGCAAAAAATACAGTATATAAGATCTAAGCTGAAACCTTAGATCTTAGAGTGCTCCGCAGGTTGGGAATGGGTGAAGAGTCCTCTAATGTTGAAGTGGGGAGGATTCTGAATCCCGGTGGTTGGAAACCAGGGGAGGGAAGAGTTGCTCTTGCGCTCATGTGCTGCTCTCTGGTTGGCCACTGTGGGAAAAGGAATAGCAGGCCATTCTCCTCTTCTGAACCTCCTGAGCCTATGTCTATGCCTGCTCTAGCTGGAGGGGCCAGGGACTTTCCCTGAGCCCACCTGCCTGTGTTCTGGGCTGTGGCCCTCCCACCTCGAGCACAACACAGTCGGGTGTCAAAACATAAGGGGTGGGGGGTCATCCCAGGCTTTCGGCTTTCCCGCTGGCACCGGGGGAAGAGGACGCTGGCCTGATCCTGCAGGCTCTGACGCTGCTACCGAGGAGGTAGCAGGCAAGGCTAGCAGCAGCCGAGTGACTCCGCCAGGTGGCAGCAAAGCAGCCTCGTGGGGTTTAGAGTCCCTGGGATGATCTGTTCAGGGGGGTCTGGTGCTGCCTGCCCTGGCGGGGGGGGGGGAAGGCTCAGGAGTCCAAGGTGGGGGGACACAGCTGCCTGGGGTGCACAGCCTGTGGGGTGTGGAAGGGGTCGGAACTCCATCTGAGTCCCCCATCACTAAAGTCGCCACCCTTGCTCTCTGCCCCCCTCCCCTTGTGCCAAAGGGACCCATCCTTCTCTGAGTTGCTCTCTTCTGGCCTCTGCAACTGCCCTGGTCTCAGAGACTTTGGCTTCTTTTCCCAGGCTTTGCTTGGCAGAATTTCCCCTGGGCAGAAACTCCCCTGGAATTGCCAGCTGCGATTCCCATTATTCCAAGGCACCAGCCATGATGTTTGGAGCCAGTGATAGCCTTCTACTCCTTCACGCATTTGCCTAATCCTCTCCAAAAGCTGGTGGCCATTACTGCCTCAAGTGGGAGGGAGTTCCACAGGTTAACTGTCAAGAAATCCCTTCTTTTCTTGAGTGCTTTGGTTAAGAACAAAGGAAGAAAATCTTTTCTCTATCCACTTTCTCTGTGCTATACATAATTTCACACACCTCTTATTATGCCCCCCTTCTTTTTCTCAGCTAAAAAGCCCCCAATATTATGACCAGCTTGACTTTGGAACGGTCTCTCCTTCCTTGGAGGTTTTTAAGCAGAGGTTGAGCGGCCATCTTTCAAGGATGCTTCAGCTGAGATTCCTGCATTGCCGGGACTTGGATTGGGGTCTCTTCCAACTCTACAATTCTATGATTTGACCCTTTCCTCTCTGGGATGAAGTCTCAAGGCCTGAGTGTGGGTCTAATGAAGACTTGTGGGTCAACCTTAGACGGCAGATGGCCTGTTCTGTGCGTCAGGCCAAGGGACAGCATCTCTCGCAGGGAGGGATGCGGGAGAGACAAAACAAGCCAATTCAGAGGAAGTTTACCAGAGAATAATTCTTTATTTCCTCACCCGCCAACACACACGCGCAGAGACTGCGGATCCCTAGCACTGGTCTTCTGCCTTGGTGCCATAGACCTCCACCTCGCACAAGGTCAAGTATTCGGCCCTTCCCGGGATGTGGATGCTCACATAGCGGCCCTTGAGCCAATTGCAATACAAGGTGCTGACGGAGCCAAGGCTGGTGTCTGTGATGGTCCCACAGCTGCAGAGAGAAAGTGGAGGTGAATCCAAAGCAGCTCAGTCTATGGGGACATTCATACATTTATTCATACGTTTTGTTTCTATGCTGCTTTAGATTTTAAAGGGGGAAATCTCAAAGCTGTATGTGAAAGGACTCCCAAATGCCAGCCCCTCCCATTCCTATCACTGAAAGGTGGCTTCTCACATTCCCCAATTTTCATTATTAACCGCTGGCGTTGTTTTAAGGGTCCCCTGCATGCCCAGGTCTTCACAAAGACTGAGGGGCCAGATATCTGTGCCAAGGCAGGGCAAGGGGCATCTAACGGATCTCCGAGGGATTGGAGGAAGGGCAGCGCCTGGTGGCCAGTGGCTTCTGGCTGAAGAGAGTAGACAGGAGGCGGCCAGGTGGAGTCCGAGGAGGACCCAGGAGGAGGGGGGGCCGCAGGGGTCAAGGGGGGTGAGGAGCTGATGGCGGAGCAGAGCTTTGGCTAAGGAAAGCGCAACTTCACAGAGGAGGGAGAAGCGAAGTGAATTGGTGATGTGCTGAAGAGGTCGGGCAGGTGGAAAAGAAATTGCTGGACAAACAATTTGGACTGGAATACAAAAGAGGGAGGTATGAGGAAGTCCAGAAAATAAGTAAATTTAAAAACGGAAATGAAAAAGTGATATTGTTTTTAATTGCTCTGTTTCTTTTTTCTGCTCTTTGTTTTTTTTTGTGTTTTTCTTCTTTTTTTTGAATTATGTATTGTGTATTTGTGTATTTCTTTTTTATGTTTTTCTGTCTAACTTTTTATTGAAACCTTAATAAAAATCATTAAAAAAAAAAAATGAAGAGGTCGGGCAGAGGAGAGGAGACCAAGGAAAGCCTGGACTTCATCCCTGATCCAGGAAGTGGGGTCTTCTGGGAATAAAGAGTGAATGGGAAGGAGGGATTGGGGTGGGGTGGGTGTTTTTATTTATGCCCTGTCTTTTCCCCTGATGGGACTCAGCATGGCTTTGTCAGGTGTGCATGCAGGAACCAGGCCCTGTGACCAATAGGACTTTGCAGGACTGGGGCCTTCCTAAGTTTGTTCTGGAGAGGCAAGGCGCAGCCACACAGGTGAGGCCGATTTGTAACTCACTGCACCTGGTGGCAAGAGCCGGGAAGGGATATAAGGTCAGCATTTTCCTTCGACTCTTTGCCACAGCAACACGCTTTCTGCCTTGCTGCGTTTGGCTTCTTGCTTCCTGATCCTTGAACCTCAGCTTCTTGACTCCCTGCTTCCTGACCCTCAGACCCTTGGCTTCTTGACTCCCTGCTTCCTGACCCTCGGACCCCTGACTTCTTGACTCCCTGCTTCCTGACCCTTGGACCACTGACTTCGTGACTCCTTGCTTCTTGACCCTTGGACCCTCGGCTTCTTGACTCTCTGACCCTCGGACTCTTGGTTCCTGACTCCTGGCTTCTGGACCCCCGTTCCTGCTCCCACCCCGCCATCTTGCCCTCGGTCCCGACGTCCCCTGCCGGGACCTCGATCGCCCGTGAAACGGACCATGACAGGCTTACAGATAAAAAGAAGAACTGCAAAACACATGGAAAAGCAATCATTACCACCACCACCCATTAAACGTTGGTAGAATTAAAACTGTACACATCGTGTTTGCTGGGACCTGTGTAGAGGAGGGCGACCAAGATGGCCAAGAGTCTGGGAACCAAGTCTTAATGAGGAACGGTTGGTGGAATTGGGGATGTTTAGCCTAGAAAGGGAAATATGAGAGCCATCTCCAAATATCTCAAGAGCTGTCACCTGGAAGATGGAGCAAGCTTCTTTTCTCCTGGGGTGGAGGGGTGGACCTGAACCAAGGACTCCAAGTTACAAGAAGGGAGATTACTGGAAGGAGATTTTGGGAAGAGGCAACTGGAACTTACAGGGGGTTGGACTTGCCCTGGTCAGCCACAGAGTCTCCCACGCGGATCTCAGCTCCCTGGAGTCTTTTACCGCAGCAGTCCCCGCGGTTCTTCACCACCACAGCAGAGATGGCGTACTGCTGGCCCAAGTCCACGTGCCACCAGGGCTCCGTGTCCAGCTGCGTGTGGGTGCAAGTGCCTGTTTTATACCAGTCCCCATCACAGTTCCCATCCACGGCTTTGCTTGCTGTTCCAATAATCTCGTGGGGGTAGATGGAGGACTGACAGGTTGGGCGGCCTCTGGCCAGGTTGCGAGCTGGAGTCAGGGAATGAGAGAAAGAAGATGGGGACAAGGACAAATAATAGTGCAATAAGAGACCAGCCCGTCTCATCCAGCACCTGCTCTCGCAGTGGCCACTCAAATACTTCTGGGAAGCCCCCAAGCAGGACAGGAAGGCAACAGCAGGCTCATAATTATTTTTAAATTTAAATTTCTTCCATGCTCAGAACGAGCAGTGACTCTAAAGAATACAGTACCACCGATGTGGTAGCATTTCTTAATTATACCACAGCCATGTGCCCTACTTGAGAGATGGAAGCCCCAGGTCCCCACAGAAGCTCAGAGAAATGAGGAGGTGCTTACAGAACAAAACTAGACTTTCTATTGAATTGCACTCGCTTACTAGCAGTTCCTGTGAGAAGGATCTAGGGGTCTTGGTGGACCACAACTTAAGATGAGTGATGCAGAAGAAAAAAAAAGTGAATGCTATTCTAGGCTACATCAGTAGACGTCTAGGGTCCAGATCAAGGGAAGTAATTGTTCCACTCTCTTCTGCCTTGGAATACTGTGTCCAATTCTGGCCACCATAATTTAAGGAGGATGTTGACAAGCTGGAAGGTGTGCAGAGGAGGGCGACCAAGATGATCAAGGGTCTGGAAACCAAGCCTGATGAGGAACAGTTGAAGGAGTTGAATATGCTTAGCCTGGAAAAGAGGAGCCTGAGAGGAGATATGAGAGCCATCTGCAAATATCTCAAGAGCTGTCACCTGGAAGATGGTGCAAGCTTGTTTTCCCCTGCTCTGGAGGGTAGGACTTGAACTGATGGCCTTACGTTGCAAGAAAGGAGATTCCTACTAAACATTAGGAAAAACTTTCTGACAGTAAGAGCTGTTTGGCAGTGGAACAGGCTCCCACGAGAGGGGGTGGACTCTCCTTCCCTGGGGGTTTTTAAGCGAGGTTGGATGGCCACCTGTCCTGGGTGCTTGAGTTGAGATTCCTGCATTGCAGGGGGTTGGACTAGATGACCCCGGGGGTGCCTTTCAACTCTACAGTTATATGATCCTATGAGGCTGACCCAGGGTCTCTCTCTCCAAAAACAGCAGGGCCAACAGACTGAAATGGAATCCTATTTACTTAATAAAGTCTATCTCATGCTTGCTTGTAATAAAACTCCAAAGTGTTGCTTTGACCCATAGACTGGCCCTTGCGTCCCCCATGTCTTACCAATGCCTTGCAGTTCTGGCTTGCAGCTCTGGGCCTCCGCCTGGCCTGCCAGGAGCACCAGGGCCAGCAGCCAAGTCCAGGTGGGGCGCATCCTGCAAGGGCAGAGTGGAGATGGCAGTGAGGGACAGCCGCCTGCAGGAGCCATGGGGGTCTGGCCCCCTTAGCAGCCTCAGAGGGCTTTGCTTGCAGCCAGGATTGCTGAAGAGGCATTCAGGTCAATCAAGGACCACGTTGGGCAGGAGAACGGTCGTCCTCCAAAGATTCCTAACAGTCCTATATAAGACCTGAACAAAAACAATGCCATTTCAGATCTGCCCATTCAGCGTCAAGACTTCTAGGCATGTTCTAGGCTTCAAGGCTCACATCCAATGGATTTCCCAGACTTACCTTGGCTCTCTTTCTTGGGATCAGCACCTGTTGTCCTTCTTGGTGGCTTGGCAAGCCCAGGTTTTTCTCTTGAAACTGACACAGAGACCTCCCTGCTTCCAGCTGAGTCCTGTCCCCTTTTATCCCCTTTCAAACAGGCAGTTCCTGTTTGACTCAGAACAACCCAACCAATCAGGAAGACTTTGACGGAGGGAATTTGGCTATCAAGATCCACTGTTTACATCCGTCTGCTCACACAGCTTGTGTGGTTTCTACATCTCTGTCAAGAGGGGGAATTTGCACTGCCTTATTACCAGGGGATCTGCCTTGAGTTTAACAACATATCCTTGTTGCATTTAGAGAGCAGGTGGATGCTAAAGTGAGTACAGTAATACCTTTAATTGAATGTGCTTTGGGTTGAGCGCGTTTGAGTTGCGCTCCGCGGCAACCTGGAAGTAACGGAGCCCGTTACTTCCGGGTTTCGCCGCTCGTGCATGCGCAGATGCTCAAAATGACGCCATGTGTGGAAGCGGCAAAACATGACATGCACAGATGCGCCGTCACATCTTGCGTTCCATTTGGGATGCGAACAGGGCTCCAGAACAGATCCTGTTCGCATCCTGAGGTACCACTGTATTGGACGCAGCCAGTCTGGGATTTCCTGAGCCCTGCCATGACCACCACACTCTGTGATCTATGGCAGTTGAGTGCCAGACGGCAACTAAGGCCTTCGATGGCTGCTAGTCATGGTGATGATGTTCTTCCTCCTCCGAAGGCCAATTGCTGGGAACCACAAGTAGTGAGAGCGCTGTTTCGCTCCTTTCCTTCTGGTGGGCTTTCCATGGGCACCTGGTTAGCAACGGAGAGAACAGGATTCTGGGTGAGGAGATGGACCTCTGGTCTGATCCAGAAGGTTGCTATGAAATTCTTAAGAGAGCCTCTTGACCTCACATAGGTAGACTTTGTTTACAAAGCTATAGTACTACCAACCTTACTGTATGCTTGTGAAACATGGACCACGCCATGTCCAGCTCCTTGAAAGATTCCATCAATGGTGTCTCTGAAAATTTTTACACATCACTTGGGAAGACAGGTGAACTAATGCCAGTGTTCTGGAAGAAGCAAAGATCACCAGTGTCAAAGCAGTGATTCTTCAACATCAACTTCGTTGGACTGGTCATGTTGTGCGGATGCCTGATGATCGTCTTCCAAAGCAACTACTCTATTCCAAACTCAAAAATGGAAAGCGTAATGCTGGTGGTCAACAAAAGAGGTTTAAAGACTGTCTCAAGGCAAATCTTTAAAAATGTAGCATAAACACCGACAATTGGGAAACACTGGCCTGCAAGTGTTCCAGGTGGAGAACAGCCTTTGCCAAAGGTGTCATGGACTTTGAAGACACTCGAACTGAGGACGCAAGGGAGAAACGTGCTAAGAGGAAGGCACGCTTGGCAAATCCACACCGTGATCAACTCCTGCCTGGAAACCTATGTCCCCACTGTGGAAGGACGTGTGGGTCTAGAATTGGCCTCCACAGTCACTTACGGACTCGCTTTTAAAACCGTGTTTATGGAAGACAATCTTGCTCAGCTACGAGGGATCGCCAAAGATGCCTCTGAATGGCAATTGCTGGGAACCACAAGTAGTGAGAGTGCTGTTTCGCTCCTCTCCTTCTGGTGGGCTTCCCATGGGCACCTGGTTGGCAACGGAGAGAACAGGATTCTGGGCGAGGAGCTGGACCTCTGGTCTGATCCAGAAGGTTGCTGTGAAATTCTTAGGAGAGCCTCTTGACATTGATGTTATCAATGCTTCTTCAGACTATTGACTTTGTGTTTTAATGGGCATGGCTGGGATGTGGCCAAAATAAATATGGCTTTTAGTGTTTGTTGCAAACATGTGTTAAATGAGAAATTGGAGGCTTCATATATTCAAATCACTTGGCACTGCCTAGGGTCAAATATTACTTCCTCTTGCAGGACAGAGTCTGCGCCCAGTTGGAGGGGACCGAGTCTTAGAGTTCTAGGAGTCCAGAAATTGCATTTTTTTGAAGGCAAGTTCCAGTCCCTTGGAGATTTACACTGCTCAGAATAATTAAGCAAGTCTGGATTTTGCTTAAAGTAGGTTTAAATGTGTTGTTTAGACATGTTAGGCTGCCCAGTGGTTGTCCTAATTCACCTGTGTGCCTTGTCTTTAAACTCACCTCCTTTTTATTATTTTTTGGCCTTGTTATGAAAAAAATTCCGGGGTGAGAGACCACTCAACAGCCCAGCTCATGGAAGTGCAAGTCCCCTGTGGGTCCATGCAGTCAGTAAAAGAAGGAAGTTCCAGCCAAATAATTTGGAACAAAACAGCAGTCAGTAGACCATGATCTTTACTGTTTGCGCAACAGGTCTCCAAAGGAGTAAGAACCCCGAGTAAGGGGTGACCTCCTCTTTTAAACCTTCCCTCTTTCCCCCAGAATACACTTCGAGAGGCATCACTGATACATCATCACTACATCACTAGCATGTCACAAATGGGGAGGGGGGTAAACAAGTCCAACATGAGGTCACTTTCTCAGACCCCTTTCCCAACACCCCTTAAGTCCCCATCACCAAAAGAACAATAAAACTCTTGACATATCCTTGCCCTCAGGACTTGTCTGGAGATGGGCTTTCAGAACACCGGACTTGCTCAACTGCCTCTGGGGATGTCTAGTGTTGCCCCCTGGTCGCTCCCTGGGTGGGGGCCATGTCTGTGCTCTCACGCTTGGGGAATTATGGCGGGATGCCCTGTTCCTGCTGCCTACATGACTTCCTGCTTCTTGGTTCATGGAGGGAGGTATAGCCCAAATTCACTTTTCTTTAAGGGTTAAAATGGTGTTGGAATGAGGAGACCCAGTTAAAGTATGGATTTTCTACGAATTTATAAAGCTAGGTATCTTCCCTGAGCTGTCAAGTCGAAAGGATGGTGTTGAATAGGATCCAAAATGCATCAGTCTGATTGGTCCTAGAACAATAGGATTCAGAATGCATCAGTCTGATTGGTCCTAGAACAATAGGATTCAGAATGCAGCAGTCTGATTGGTCCTAGAACAATAGGATTCAGAATGCAGCAGTCTGATTGGTCCTAGAACAATAGGATTCAGAATGCAGCAGTCTGATTGGTCCTGGAACAATAGGATTCAGAATGCAGCAGTCTGATTGGTCCTAGAACAATAGGATTCAGAATGCAGCAGTCTGATTGGTCCTAGAACAATGAGATCCAGAATGCAGCAGTCTGATTGGTCCTAGAACAATAGGATTCAGAATGCAGCAGTATGATTGGTCTGCAGGAGTCATCCAATCCAGGTCCAGGTGGAAGTGAATCCACAACCTGATTGGCCTACAGGAGAATTCCGGAATTAGGCAATCACTTGGGGCCCATTGTGTAAATAATGTATATAAAGCAGATATTTTGGGGGAACATTCATTTCTCCCTACCATGAGCAGAATAAAGAGCATGAAATCCACGCTCGACTCCGAGTATATTTCAGATACATTCAGGCATAATATTTGTAATGAGTGGCTCCTTCCTCCTGCCATTTTGCCTCCCTGAGGAAGAAGACCCCCCAGAGCTGCTGCCCACCGAGGTCTGGGCTGGGAAGAGGGAGAGGCCACCTTTATAGCCAGGCAACTGACAGGTGCCTTTGTGATATCATAGACAACCCATAGCCAATGGGAGCAGCCAACCAGCTACAAATCCACCTAACAGTTACCTCGTTCAACCCACATTTTACCAGATTCCTCGCAAGAATATCATGGAGGACTTTGTCCAAAGAACTTACTGAAATCAAGATACGCTATGTCCACAGCATTCCCCTGATCTACCAAGCTTGTTACTCCATAAAAAAGAAAGAAATTGGGTTCATCTGACATGACTTATCTTTGAGAAACCTATGCTGGGTCTTAGTAATCACAGCATCCTTTTCTAAGTTCTCATAGACTGACTAATGAATTATCTGTTCTCGGACCTTTCCTGGTGTCAATGTCAAGCTCACTGGTGGGTGGTGATATATATGTGGGAATAAACCAGATGGAGGTACCCATCTGTTCCATGGCACAGAGCAACTGCATTCCTGCATTGCAGTTGGACTAAATGACCCCTCAACTCTACGAATCTATGATTATGCTAATCTTAAGTAGTCAGCCAAAGCCATTGCCTGACAAGCAGACTGGTTTGCAAGCCTGTTCTTATACATTCCACCCACACAGATGCAGCTTCCAGACTGACCCTGTTAAACCTACATCATACTCCAAAACTGACCAGGGCTACCAAGGCCCTAGTCCCTAGCGAATTCTGAGCAAAGGTTATCATGATTCCCAGTGGGCAAAACTGACACCTTGTGCTTTGGGGTGGGGCAGGGGGAGACATTTCCACTTTAATTAAAAAGTTCAACACTGAAGTCTTACACAAGGCTAGTGTTTGCCCAAGTAAGCCTTGCACACCACTGATAAACAGGTCTTGAGCAATACCTCTGCAATTATCAAAAACCCCAAAAGACTCAGGACAAATTAAAGAAAGTTCAGGCGAAGTACCATGATTTCGGCAGCCCTGTGGGGGGGGTGCCCTTGGCGGGGGCCACGTTTGCGAACATCCAGTTCTGCCCCTGCTGGTGCTAAAATCCTGCTTGCTGGCTCCCCACAGGAAACTCTCCAGCCCCTTTGAGAACAGGATACTGGACTAGATGGGCCCTATCCAGCAAGCTGTTATGTTGTTGTTGTAAAATATGACCATTCCATAGAGAAAGATGACTCAAGCGTTCACCATCAGAAGAGCAGCTTCTAGGTCATTGGTTTGGGGAGAAATAGGAGTTCTCCCTGTGTGTGTGTTGGGGGAAAAGACACAATTTGGGTTTGTGTCTGACCCACAGACAAGCTCCTTCTTGCAGCTCTTCCCAGCACCTGGCAGTTCAGGCTTGCAGCTCTGGGAATCCCCTTCCAGGAGTGCCTGGACCAGCCGCCAAGTCCAGGTGAGTGACCTCCTGCGAGGAGGAAGGGGGTCGTGCTGGAGCCATCGGGGTCTGCCTCCCTCTTAGCATCAGGAGCAGTAAGAAGATGGGAAAGGTGGGCTCAGAGCCAGCCAGGAATGCTGAGAGGAGGCCTTCAGAAGAATCAAGAGCCCTGTTGGCCAGAGAGCTCCATGCGCTTCCTCAAATGGCCATGGCGGGGGAACATGAGTGGCACAAAAGCGGTCCTGTTCAGTACACACACACACACACACACACACACACACACACACACACACATTTTTATTGGGGTTTTTTAAACATCATTTCCAACAACCATATAACTTAACTTCTTATCTTATACAATATTCTAGACTTCCGTCAACTCCTCTGATGATTTTTCATTCTTTATCACTTATTCTGCATTTCTTAATTTCTCTATTACTCTTAATCATCATTAACTAATAACTCTCCTCGTAGTCTTTCTTGCAATATTTCAAATCGTCCTCCTTACAGAACTTCTTGCAGTCCTACTAGCGTGATCTGTTCATTACAATTACTTTTCAAATAGTTCACATATTTACTCCAGTCTTCTAAGAATCTCTGGTCCCACAGGTTTCGAACCTTTCCTGTTAATTTATCTAATTCTGCATAGTCCATGCGTTCCTGTTCAGTCCTTGTCAGCATGGAAATGGAGTGAGCGGGAGAGAAAGAGAGAGTTCTGGAAAATTACGAAAAAAATGGCAATGCTTGCATTAGCATGCTATTGTTACATGTTAAAGAATATGCGGTTGAGTAAGTTGGGGGAAGTCAGTGAGGTGTGGCAGCTGTGGGATTAAATCTGTGGTTCGGTGACCATTGAAATGGGGAACCTGGAAACTAAGGCAAAGGGTTAAAAGGGGGGGCAGGAGACCATTCAGTTGGAGAGAGCATGGCGCTGGTTAGAAACTGCAGAGAAGATAAGAGGGGGAAGAATGAATAAACACGGAGCCAGTGTAACTGCAGATGTGTTCCATGTGGACTCTCATCCTCTGGAGGCTTCTAAGCAGAGGTCGGATGGACATCTGCCATAGATGCTTTCATTGAGATGACCCAACTCCCAAATTCTATGATTCTATGTAGGGAAATGTATGAAAGATTTGAATTTTATGCGCTTGGGGTCTCTTGCCTGAACCGTGAGGTTGGCAGGACAGCATTCCTGATCTGAAGCTCCCTGCCTTGTTGAGCGACTGTCCGAGATGTCTAAAGGGGCAGCTGCTCTGGCCAAGGGAGCTGAGGACTCTGGGCCCAAGAGGAAAGGTTGGCTGACAGACTCAAGAGATACCGTACTTTTCCGTGTATAAGACTAGGGTTTTTTATTTTAAAAATAGGTTCAAATTTGTGGGTCGTCTTATACACAGATACAATCTCCCCCCCCCCATTTTCTCAATTTGGAGTCCCCCAAAATAGGGGGTGTCTTATACGTGGGGGCAGGTTATACATGAAAAAATATGGTAAATGCCAGGCCGGAAGGTGAATTAAGGCAGTCTGTACTGCAAATCTTATTCACATTCAGACTTGCTTATTTACCCTGAGACCTTTTTTCATGACTTCCGAAAAAAATACTTCATGGTAGCCAACGAGGTTTTACTCAGAGCTATCATTTAAATTAAAAGACATAACTTAGGGTGCACCACACTTTTGCTTGAGCCATATTTTGATTGCATTGTGTACCAATTAATTTCCCTGGGTCTGAGAGCTTTTCATGGTTCAGCAGCCAGTAATTTTTCAAGGAAACTTGTGGAGTATTTATTATTCTATTCTATTCTATTCTATTCTATTCTATTCTATTCTTTAGAGCCTTAAAGTGCAAGCCTTTACTACTGAGAAGAATTAAGTCTCACTGAGTTCAGTAGGGCTTACTCTCTGGTATGCGCCTGATCATCATCACATTTTCTTCTTCATCTTCAACTACTCCTACTACTACTATAATGTGTGTGTGAGGGGGTGCCAAACTGAGTCTTTGACCCGGGTGAAAGAAAGCCTCGTTTCTCCCCTGCAGAAGAGGAAGGTCATCCTGGGGGTGCCCCAGGATAGCCAGAAAAGGAATGGGGAAGCTGCGGGCAGGGAAAGGGAAGTAGCAGGAGGGGACAGTGGATCAATATCAAACCACAATTATCAGCTGGTCAACATGTGTCAGGTCAGGCATAGTCTCAACGAGAAATGTGTACATAGTTATTTACCATATATTCAATCAGCCTTTTCTAGTCTTCTTTCAATGTATGTTCTTCTTGTTCTCTTTATGTTAAGTTGACAGAATATGCACAGCTTGCAGACTTAACATATGGAACATGCATTTCCCAGACATAAGCACTGCTCTCCTAGACCACGTCCGAACGCTTCCCTTTGCACACGCAGACACACGCCATCTGCCATCCCATGAAGAATGTCTGTGGACGCATTCACTCACCAGCTGCTCTCCATTCATAAACACACACAAACACACCAGCTTCAAGCCATGAATCTCCACACAGCTTCTGTCAACTGACTTCCAAAGGAGACCTTCAAATGCTGACATCTGCAGCAACTTCTGGCACCCACCGAATCCATGAATTTGTCCAGTCTTCTTTTAAAGCCATCTAGTTCTCTAGCCTTTCTCACCCTGTCTTTCTATCCCTACACCCTCCTGCTTTTCCTCTCAGGAATCCATGTCTGTTTGTGACATCACAGAAGTTTCGACATCATCGTAGCCATTACACTTTGACATCATCATAGCCATTGGCAACTACAGAAACAGCTGCACAACCCCTCATGGGAGGTGGCAAGAAAGAACACTAAACATGTATGCATTTAGAAACTTAGCATTGCATTTGTTTTATATGACATCAGTCAGACACAGTTTTACTTTTTTTAAAAAAAGGCATTTTTTTTAAAAAGGCATGACCTAGCCACTGTGAGCCACCAACGGTCACCTCCAGACTGGATTATTGTAACTCACTCTATGCAGGGCTGCCCTTGAAGCTGACCCAGAAACTCCAGCAGGTGCAGAATGCTGCGGCAAGACGCCTTACGGGGTCCTCACTGCAGGATCACATTAACCCGGTGCTATACCAGCTGCACCGGCTCCCGGTGGAGTACAGGATCAGGTTCAAGGTGCTGGTTTTGACCTTTAAAGCCCTATACGGCCTAGGACCCTCGTCCCTACAGGACCGCCTCTCCTGGTATGTCCCACGGAGGACCTTACGGTCTTCAGACAAAAACATCTTGGAGGTCCCGGGTCACAGGGAGGTTAGGCTGGCCTCAACCAGAGCCAGGGCTTTTTCGGTTGTGGCCCCAATCTGGTGGAACGCTCTGTCACAAGCGACTAGGGCCCTGCGGGATTTGACGTGTTTCCGCAGGGCCTGCAAGACGGAGCTGTTCCACCAGGCCTTTGGCCAAGGCACAGTCTGACCCCCTCCTTCTGTAATCCTCACTGAACTCTAGCCCAATGGTTGCCATTAATTTGATCCTGAACTGATTTTAAAATGAACTGATTTTAGAATGTTGCATTACTTTTATTGTTAGCCACTCTGAGCCCGGCTTCGGCTGGGGAGGGCGGGATATAAATAAATGATGATGATGATGATGAAAATAAACTGCCTTGCTTCAGTCCTGCTGTTCTCTTCATTACTTTCACGGTCGGTCTTGGGGAAAACCTCACCGGCTTCCTGGAAGGCAAACAACACGTTGAGTGGGATGGCCTCCGTCCAGCAGCCTCAGCCAGACCCTCCACTGGCTGCTGCCTGGCAACTTCACCCCGGACGTCCTGGTCAACTTCTGCTGGTTTCTGCCCATGAATATCCACTGGTTCCATTCACCCTGCGCCCAGAGGATGGCATCTGCCACCCGCTGAGCACGTATTTCCCAGCCACAACACTACTTACCTGGACCACGTCCGAATGCTCCCATTCACACACGCAGACACACTCCATTCGAAACCTCCCATTTGCACTCATAGACACACTCTATTCGAAACCTCCCATTTGCACTCATAGACACATGCCATCTGCCATCCCGTGAGGAATGTCTGTGGACGCATTCACACACACACACACACACACACACACACACACACACACATCCAGCTTCAAGTCATGAATATCCACACAGCTGACTTCCAAAGGTGACCTTCAGCCAGCTGACACCTGCAGCACCTTACGGCACCCGCTGGTTTCTGACTGCAAACTCCACCAGCCACCAACACCTGCCGGCTTCTGCCAGGTCTGTTTCCAGACACCAGCCAGCTTCTGACTCTGGGAATTGGCTGCCTTCAAGCTGCGATCCCACCCTGGGACCCAGCAAGCGAACTTGCCTTCTGCCTGTTCCTCAGCATCCCATTGCGGGATGAGTGCCTCCTTCCTCCTGCCATTTTGCCTCCCCGAGGAAGGAGACCCCCCAGAGCTGAGTGCCGCAGCTGCTGCCCACCGAGGTCTGTGCTGGGAAGAGGGAGAGGCCACCTTTATAGCCAGGCAACTGACAGGTGCCTTTGTGACATCATAGACAGCCCCCAGCCAATGGAAGCAGCTGTGGACGCGTCACCATAACCACTTTGAGCATCACAACTGGGGCTGCACCTCAGCAGTGACTTATTTCTTTGTCTGTTGGTTATTAAAAACACTGTTAGCCCCCCCCCCCATGCTCAGGTGGGGGAGATATTTGGTCCGGCTGCTCAGGGTGTCGTCACACCCACCCCACTGGGAACCCGACACGCCCTCCTGGGACAAATCCTGCCACTCACACCTCATCCTGGCTGGCGCCATGGGGCACAGGGCAGAGAAGGGGCCCCAAAGAGTGTGAGGAGCTCCCACCCGGCACTGCCCACCAGTGGGGACAGGAAAGAGGGAGGTGGATTTGGGAGGCATGGAATCAAAAGTGCCCAGCGGAAGCCGTGACCCACAGGAACATGTATTTATGCCCTAGTGTGGACACAGCAGCCATGTCACATTGCCTGCTGGGCACCTTTGGACAGAGTTAACAGAGAGCTTGCCCCCTGCAGATTTGAAGCGGCTGGTGTCTTGTTGTGCAGCATCCAGACAACATCCTCCTCATCCAAGTGGCAGCCCAGAGCTCCCCACACACCAGATTTGTTAAATGAATTCTAGGGTCTCATATATATCAGTCATATGTTCATAAATTTACAAGGCAAACACATACGTAAGTATATAAACCACGTGTCCGAAATAGTACAGGAGAGCCATCCCAAAGCCATATTGACTCTCCTAAATTGACCCCAAATATTTCTCTGCAAAGAAGGAAGGAAATGGGGAAGCCTCTCCATTGTCTTCTGCTTACCTGTCTTAAGGGCGTCTTTGTGTATGAACAGGGTGAGCCTGTGACCTGGTTTCAGGAACTGAAGTATTTGCTATCACAAAAGAATGGCCAGGCTGCCCAGGTAAAGCAATCAGTGACCATTGTCAGGTATCCTGGCAGACAGGGTTTCTGCTGTAGACCGCCTCCTTCTGTGATGTATGTATGAAGATTTTGGGGGGTGGTCTTGGGCTACAGGGTGGGCAATTTCAAAAGTCCATATAAGAGCTTGTGCACCATTGTTCTGGGTTCTCCTCCCTCCTGCGTGTGGTGAGTGAGGACCCTGTTGCAACAGTTTTAATAAAGATCAGGCTTACTAGCTGCTTTGCTTCTCAATATTCTCTGGTTGGCCTCTGTTATTTTTTCCTACCGATAGGGAACCCACTTAAGGACTCTTAACAGGCTCTTGGATACCCCATAAGGGAAAAGGAGCAGTACTTTTCTTATAACACCAGTTTTACCCGAGTGTCACATTCATGACTCCACATGCAGGCACTGGGAAAGAGTTGCCCTGGCTTCATGCAATGGGTGTTGGGAGGTGAATTTCTACTCCCTTGAGCCGTGAAGTGTGGCAGTTAATGACCCCTGGAAAAGTGAGGCCCTTGTCTTGCAGTGGAATCAATGTCCCCAGGGTCAGACCAGTGTGATGAGAATTTTAAAGTCTTAGATAAATAATAAATGTTCATAAATGTACCAACCAAGCACGTACATAGATCAGCACAGGAAGACCGACCTGAAACCATTTTTGATTCCCAAACGGACCAAATGTTTTCTTTGCGAGGTCAAAGGAAAATGGAAAAGCCTCCCCATTGTCTTTTCCTTCACAAATCCTGCCTTAAGGGTATGTCTGTGTATGAACAGGGTGAGCCTGTGACCTGGCTCAGGAACTAAGTATTTATCATCACAAAAGACTGGCCAGGCTCCTCAGGGTATCCAACCAAGTGACCATTAAACAGGTAACCTGTCAGACGAGATAAACAACGCACTCAGATTTCTGCAGTAGACCACCTTTTCTGTGATGTAGGTATGATGTTTGTGGGGGGGTGGTCTCGAGTTACACCCCTTCTGTGATGTATGCATGATGTATGGAGGGGCAGTCTTGAGCTCCAGGGCAGAGAATTTAAAATGTCTATATAAGGCCTTGCGCACCATTGTTCTGGGTTCCTCCTCCTTCTCCTGCGTGTGGTGAGTGAGGACCCTGTTGCCACAGATCAATAAAGATCAAGCTTACTAGCTGCTTTGCTTCTCAGTATTCTCTGGTTGGCCTCTGTTATTTTCTCCTACCAATAGGGAACCTACGTAAGGACTCTATATGGGCTCTTGGATACCCCATAAGGGGAAAAGGGGCAGATTTTTGTAGACAACACCAGCCTGTCCTGGAGACTGGCCTGTCTGCCTCCTTTGTTTTATGTCCTTTGTAAGCCAGGAGAAGGCGTGAGGAGCGTTGCTGGACTTGGCCAAAAGCGTGTATCTCACCCTGTGTCCCTCTTCCAGTAATGGGCAGCCAGGGGCCTATAGGAAGCCTCTCAGGAGGGCTTGAAGGCAACGGAATCTCCCAGCAACTACCCTTAAGAATCTGATAGACTGAACTGATTTGAAATTCACAGCATGTTGTACACTGAAAGAAAATTATATGAAAATGATGTACCGGTGGTATCTGACTCCTACTAAGCTATTCAAAATGTATAGAACAAGCTCCAATATTTGCTGGAAGTGTAAAGAAAAAGAGGCTATCTTTTATCATATGCGGTGGTCATGTAAGGTAACAAAGTCTTTTTGGGAATGAATTGGAAAAATGTTTAAAATAACATTTGTTAAAAAAACCAGAAGCTTTTCTACTAGGAATTACAGGTTCCGACATCCCAAAAGACCAGAAAAGACTGTTTATGTATGCGGCAACAGCTGCAAGGATGCTACTAGCCTGAAGATGGAAAGAACCAACAGAACCGACCAAGGAAGAATGGCAAGCCAAACTGTTGGACTATTCTGAAATGGCAAAACCGAATGGGAGACTCAGGAATCAAGAAGATAATGACTTTTTAAAAAATGGGGGAAATTCATAACTTACTGAGGAGACCATTGTAAACAAATAAAAGCGTTAGCTGGACTTTAAAAATAACTTGTAGAGAAACGAAAGACATGGATAATTTAGAGAGATGAAAGCTGTGGAGAACGTAATGATATGTGTGGGATGTTAAACACAAGAGCAGTCAAGTACAACATTCCTAGAGTGAACATGTTTACACATGGGCAAGAATGTTTGTCCAGCCAACAGGTCAACTTCCTGTTTCCTTCTGGCCTGGGACAGACTTCCTCTGCATGTGACTAGAGGTGGGTGTGGCCTCACCTGTGCAGGTAACGACAAAAGCACAGGGCAGGGTAGCCATCTCTCTCTCTCTCTCTCTCTCTCTCTCTCTCTCTCTCTCTCTCTGACTACATGCATCGAAGAAGCAACATCTGCTTAGCTAAAGATGCTTCCAGCCAAGAGAGGACAAAGGGACTGTCTCCTTATGAGATAGTTTCCAGGTGTATGTTACTTTTCTAAGCTAAGTCTGCCTTTTGGGATCCGGTTGTGAACAGAATGATGTGTGAGTAAACTCTTTTTATACTTTTATAGAAGACTGTGTCGTGTCTTATCTTTTATGAGGGAATAAGGGGAAAATACCAGAACAGTTATTATAGAGGCTTCAGCGAGCCTGAGCAAAAGCATCTGCTGCAAGTTTAAAAGGGGGAATGTTACTCTGCTAAATTGTGAACTTGTTAACACAAGTTGGAAAGGCTATTATCAGACAATATATACTCTCCCGCATCACTGAACATTCCCACAATATGTAGTCTCAGAAAAATTATTTTAAGGACCCATGCAGGGGATAGGGGGAAGCAGAGAGATTCAGAGAATCTCATATATGGATATGGTAAAAGTTTTTTCTCTTCATTATTTTAAATTTGTTCTTGCAAAAACCAATAAAAATATTTCACAAAAAAGAAAAGAATCTGATAGACTGTTTCTGAGTCTGGAGATCCCATAGCCATCATGATCAAGAGCCATACAATGAACAAGGATGAATGAAACTGATTAATGCTGCAGTCGCTTCTCTCTGGCACAGGCAAAATCCTAGACTCTCTGGGTTTTCAGGGCCCAATAAGTCAACTGAAGAGACGAAGGAAGCCCGCTCAATGAAAATTTATTGGAGAGACAACATCAGTTTCATTACTTTTGCCCTCCCCTCAAAGGTGTGGACCTCTAGCATTGGTCTTCTGCCTTGGTGCCATAGACCTCCACCTCACACAAGGTCAAGTACTCTTCAAGGTCAGGGATCTGGACACTCACGTAGCGGCCCTTGAGCCAATCACAGTTGAAGACACTGATGGATCTAGTGGTGTCTGTGATGGTCCCACAGCTGCAGGGAGAGAAAGAAAGTCATCTGTAGGGTGGGATCCATGTGGAATCTCCATCCTAGGCTGTGGAGAAATGCGCTCCTAAACTTACAGTGTTTCTAATGATACCACAACAATGCGCTCTCCCTCTAACGCTGGCCTCCTGGGTGGATCTCATATCATTCGCGAATGTTGCTGCTACCTGCCATTGTAGTCTAGACTAAATATTCCAAAATAACTACCACCTGCTTGTTCCGTCTCTGTTCCCAGCCCCAACGGGGACCAGAGTCACTGTTCTGCCCAGAAGAGCATGGTTTAAAAAGGAGGCAGAACCCTCGATTTCTCCTACTCCCTAATTTTGACTACAAATTGGAACTCTTAAGACGTCATCAGTCCACATATCTGCCATGGACTGGCTGGATGCAGAGAAGCGGTGGGAGATATCAGCTGGAGAACCCCCAAGGGAACCCCCAGGGGAAGAAGGCTCCGGGTCAGGGGACTGGTGGTGGGACAATGATACATGGGGACAGAGAGAAGAGGGAGCAGACTGGGAGCAGGAGGAGGAGGTCCTGGAAACTGAAGAGGCAACAGGATTTTGTGAGCAGGAAGAGGCTGTGGCAGAGAGAAGTCCAGACTCAGAGGCAGGAGAGGAAGGTCCTAGGAGACAGAGATGAAGCCGGCTGTGGGAGAATCCAGGTGTCTCCCCCTCCTCCTGCAACCAGCTCCCCACCCCCTTGGTCTCCTAGAACACACAGAGAAATGAAAAGAGCAGAGGAGAGATTGGTTGTGCACAGATGCAGTCTCCAATTGCTTGGGGAAAACCCTGGAGTGGAGGGGACTGTGGGAAGTCAGGGACCTTCAGTCCTCGCAATTGCCTCCTTAGGGCAAGACCTACTGGGCAGTGTTCCTGAGATCACCAGGCCTGCGCTTTCTTGGTTCTTTGAATAAAAGTGGAACGCTCAGGAACCAAGAGGACAAGAACTTTTTTTAAAAAATTGGGGGAAATTTATAATTTATTGAAGAGAGCATTGTAAGCAAACGGGAACATTAGCAGGATTTTAATCTTACTTGTAAGGTAACAAAGATTATGGATAAATCCACACAAAATGTGGATAATGGATTGATGTGCAGTTGCAAGTGTAGGCATTAGACCCATGGAGGGGGCAGGGGATGTCATGAGATTCAGATAAATCTCTTTATATGGATTTGTAAATGATTTTGCTGTAAAATTATATTTGTAAAATCAAATAAATATGAGAGAGAGAGGGTTAACTTCAATGACCATGGTGGTTTTTTTTACAAAATTGCTGACCTACTCCTGACACCAGTTCCTGACATACATCAAATTATATAGAATGTATTCTGGGGTGTCTTTGTTGTCGGAATCTCCGTACGACTGAGCTACTCCTCCGGTAGTGTCTTTGGAATCTCCTCTGACGGTGATTAACGACCGAAGCCTTTGATGAGGCTTCAGGCACGTTCCCCCATTCTGCAGAGTACCCGGACAGCAGAAGGAGTCGAAATATGTGCTACGACGCTACGTTTTATTTCTAACTACGCAGGACAGAAAAGAATATGCATCTGCTCTCTGTGAAAGGCAGAGAACCAACTGAAACAAAGAAACAGGAAACCAGTAACATCAACATCCGTCTCCCGTGAGACTTCCAAGAGTCTGGAATGTAAACAGAGTCTTGTGACTCCAAACACTGCACAGTGGCGTAACAGAAACCTAACATTTGTTACAGGGATTGAGGGTGTGGGAAATGGAACTTACAGGGCGTTGGACTTGCTACGGTGAGCCATATTGTTGCCCACACGGATCTCAGCTCCCCGGAGTCTGTCGCCGCAGCAGTCCTGGCGGTTTTTCACCACCACGGCCGAGATGGCATACTCATCGCCCAGGTCCACGTACCACCAGGGGTCCCTTTCCTTCTGCGTGTGGGTGCAGGAGCCCGAGCTGAAGAGCCCGTCACAATTCCCGTCCACAGCTTTGATTCCTCCTGTAAAAATCTCATGTCGGTAGATGGAGGACTGGAAGGCTGGGCGGCCTTTGGCCAAGTTGTGAGCTGGAGCAGGATGGGAAGGAGATGGAGGGAGAATAAATGGTTAGAGAGTTATACAGCCTCCATGGAAGCTTCTCTCTGGACAAGAACAGGGAGCACAGAGACCGGGGGAAGCTTTGCAAAGTCCTTCAGGAGACCCACTTTCAGTGTTCAAAGAAGCTGCAACAGAAGAGGGAGGAATATCGCCACACTGATATTAAAATAGTTGCATTTCCAGATTTCGATTTTTCATGGCCCTCCAACCAAGAGGTGAGGCTCTGCGGTGTTTAAAGGCTTTTAAACTACCTTGGTAGAAAAGTAAGCTGAACAAGCTCAGAGACGGGCCTTCTGCAACCTTGGAATGGCTATCAAAGGAGGCCAATGTTCATGCCCTCTTCCCACCTCCCTGCATTTTGGGGGAAGCCCAGTCCTGCAATAAGCTGGTGGTGCTGAGAGCCAGAGGCTGAGTTTGGTCCTTTCTCCTTCAGCCTGACACCTCGCAGGGCTCTTGTGAGGATAAAACGGGGGTTGTCATTGTGCAGTGTAAGGGCAGGACAAAATCGCAGTGACAACAAAGAGGTTGCGCTCATTTACTCCCAGTGAAAATTACATCTGAACGTGTTGTTGGAGATTTCAAGAGTGTGTTGATCTTCTGCCATCCTTGAGTATCTCCTAGCACCTTCCCCCTCACTTCACCTCTACCAAGATAGAGGTCGCATTGGGCAAATCGGAAATGTAAAAGTGCACCAGTTCCTCCTCCTTCGCCCCAAGCAGTCTTGAAGAATGATGCAGAATATAGTCCTACGAGGACCATCTTGGTACTGAGTATGAAAGCACACTGAACATACTCAGAGACTGGTCCTCTCCAACCTTGGCATTGATGTCAAAGGATGGCAATAGTCATGGCCTTCCCTCTCCCCAGACACATTTTTGAGGGTGCCCAGTTGTGCAATGGGTTGGTGGTTCTGAGAGCTGGAGACAGCACCATCAGGGTGTCTCTTGGAAACAGCAGCCACCTCAGTGCTTCATCCACTCCTCTGCCTGGGGATGGAAGAGCCTCAGTCTGAACACATAAAGGGAGGAATCTGCTGGATGGGGCCCTTCCCAACCAAAGGAATGCACATGACAGATGGTTAACTCTTTATTATCAAAGAGAACACGGTTGCTGCTGCAGCTCTGGAGACCTAGGCGTGCCAGTTGAGCATCTTAGTAGGGATTTCCAGGTCCGCACTTCAGGGAGCGATTTAAGCAACAGCAACTGCCTCCGACTCTTGCCTCCTGGTGGGAACAGTTCCTACCAAATCACTGACCCCCTCCCCTTCTCCTGAGTTAGGCAGCAGTCCCTCTTCCCCTGGCTCACGGTCAGCAACATCCTGCCAGTCCCCGGCACGAAATCCCTGTAAGCCTCTGTCAAAACAAAATAAAAAAATTCCTTCCAGCAGCACCTTAGAGACCAACTAAGTTTGTTATTGGTATGAGCTTTTGTGTGCATGCCCACTTCTTCAGATACACTGAAAAAGAAGTCGTCAGCAGGTTTACCACACCTATCAGGCAATCACCCATTCCCACCCCCCTTCTGAGTGATACCCCTCCCCACCCTCTCACTATATATAAGGGTCTGGTGACTTCTGCTTCAGTGTATCTGAAGAAGTGTGCATGCACACGAAAGCTCCTACCACGAACAAACTTAGCTGGTCTAAAGCATGCCAGTGCAAGTAGATAAATAGGTACCACTCCAGCGGGAAGGTAAACGGCGTTTCCGTGCGCTGCTCTGGTTCGCCAGAAGCGGCTTAGTCATGCTGGCCACATGACCCGGAAGCTGTACGCCGGCTCCCTTGGCCAATAAAGCAAGATGAGCGCCGCAACCCCAGAGTCGGCTATGACTGGACCTAATAGTCAGGGGTCCCTTTACCTTTTAAAGTTGCTACTAGAAGGAATTTTTTTATTTTGTTTCGACTACGGCAGACCAACACGGCTACCTACCTGTAGCTGTAAGCCTTTGGTTAACTTTTCCATGAATAAATTTGATTTCCCCACTGGATGAGATGTCACCAGTTTGGGGAGGAATAGGAATGCTTTGGTGGTGGTGGAGAGAAGTATCACTTGGGTTGGGGTCTGACCCACAGGTAAGCCCTCCCTTAGCAGCTCTTACCACTTTGCCATGCATACACGCAGTTCCGGGCATCCCCACGTGCTGCCAGGAGCGCCAGGGCCAGGGGCCACGTCCAGGTGATGCGCATCCTGCAAGTGGGGAATGGAGACAGCCGTGAGGAGGAGCCATTGCTGAAGCCATTGCTGAAGTCTCTGCCTCCCTTTTGCATGAGGAACAGGAAGAAGGTGGGCTGAGAGCTGGCTAGGAATTCTAAGAGGAGGCCTTCAGATGAATCAAAGGCACTCCTAGCCTTCCTCAAATGGCCAGGAGCATTTCAAGGCAAGTGGTGTTTGTGGTCAGTCCTCCTTGGTAGCATGGATGAAGGAGACAAATCCTCTGTTTAAGGGGGCAGATCAAGGGTGCTGGACCAAGAAAGAAGGTTAGCTGATAGCCCTAAGAGGCCTAAGAGGGAATAAGGTTAAAGAGGACAGGATCATACTTCAAAATGACCTTGACAGATTAGAGAACTGGGCCAAAACAAACAAGATGAATTTTAACAGGGAGAAATGTAAAGTATTGCACTTGGGCAAAAAAAATGAGAGGCACAAATACAAGATGGGGGACACCTGGCTTGAGAGCAGTACATGTGAAAAGGATCTAGGAGTCTTGGTTGACCACAAACTTGACATGAGCCAACAGTGTGACGCGGCAGCTAAAAAAGCCAATGCGATTCTGGGCTGCATCAATAGGAGTATAGCATCTAGATCAAGGGAAGTAATAGTGCCACTGTATTCTGCTCTGGTCAGACCTCACCTGGAGTACTGTGTCCAGTTCTGGGCACCACAGTTCAAGAAGGACACTGACAAACTGGAACGTGTCCAGAGGAGGGCAATCAAAATGGTCAAAGGCCTGGAAACGATGCCTTATGAGGAACGGCTAAGGGAGCTGGGCATGTTTAGCCTGGAGAAGAGGAGGTTAAGGGGTGATATGATAGCCATGTTCAAATATATAAAAGGATGTCACACAGAGGAGGGAGAAAGGTTGTTTTCTGCTGCTCCAGAGAAGCGGACACGGAGCAATGGATCCAAACTACAAGAAAGAAGATTCCACCTAAACATTAGGAAGAACTTCCTGGCAGTAAGAGCTGTTCGACAGTGGAATTTGCTGCCAAGGAGTGTGGTGGAGTCTCCTTCTTTGGAGGTCTTTAAGCAGAGGCTTGACAACCATATGTCAGGAGTGCTCTGATGGTGTTTCCTGCTTGGCAGGGGGTTGGACTCGATGGCCCTTGTGGTCTCTTCCAACTCTAGGATTCTATGATTCTATGATTCTATGACAAGGCAGGCAGGTAAATTAGGATCGCCAGCGGACAGTCTGGCATGTCTACACTACACTTTGAAGAAGCACAAACTCAGGAGGGAGAAACATGCCAAGAGGAAGGCACGCTTGGCAAACCCTCATTGTGATCAGTGTCCCCACTGTGGAAGGACACGTGGATCCAGAATTGGCCTCCACAGTCACTTACGGACTCACTGTGAAGACCATGTTTTCATGGAAGACAATCTTAATCCTCTACGAGGGATTGCTAAAAAAGAAGTATTGCTTTATTCCAGTTCCTTCCTGCTTAACTCCAATAATAATAATAATAATAAAAATAATTTATTATTTATACCCCGCCCATCTGGCTGGGCCTCCCCAGACACTCCGGGTGGCTTCCAAAAAAATATTAAAATACTGTAATACATCAAACATTAAAAGCTTCCCTAAATAGGGCTGCCTTCAGATGTCTTCTTAAACTCTGGTAGTTGTTCTCTTTGACATCTGGTGGGAGGGTGTTCCACAGGGAGGGCGCCACTACCGAGAAGGCCCTCTGCCTGGTTCCCTGTAACTTGGCCTCTCGCAGTGAGGGAACTGCCAGAAGGCCCTCAGTGCTGGACCTCAGTGTCCGGGTAGAACGATGGGGGTAGAGACGCTCCTTCAGATATACTGGACCAAGGCCGTTTAGGGCTTTAAAGGTCAGCACCATCACTTTGAATTGTGCTTGGAAACGTATTGGGAGCCAATGTAGGTCTTTCAAGACCAGTGTTATATGGTCTCGGCGGCCGCCCCCAGTCACCAGTCTAGCTGCCACATTCTGGAATAGTTGTAGTTTCCGGGTCACCTTCAAAGGTAGCCCCACATAGAGTGCATTGCAGTAGTCCAAGCGGAAGATAAGCAGAGCATGCACCACTCTGGTGAGACAGTGTGTGGGCAGATAGGGTCTCAGCCTACGTACCAGATGGAGCTGGTAAACAGCTGCCCTGGACATAGATTTGACCTGTGCCTCCATGGACAGCTGTGAGTCCAGAATGACTCCAGGCTGCGCACCTGGTCCTTCAGGGGCACAGTTGCCCCATTCAGGACCAGGGAATCCTCCACAACTGCCCGTCTCCTGTCCCCCCAAAACAGTACTTCTGTATTGTCAGGATTCAACCTCAATCTGTTAGCCGCCATCCATCCTCCAACTGCCTCCAGACACTCACACAGGACCTTCACTGCCTTCACTGGTTCTGATTTAAAAGAGAGGTAGAGCTGGGTATCATCCGCATACTGATGAACACCCAGCCCAAACCTCCTGATGATCTCTCCCAGTGGCTGCATGTATGGTAAATGTTGAAAAGCATGGGGGAGAGGACAGAACCCTGAGGCACCCCACAAGTGAGAGCCCAGGCGTCTGAACACTCATCCCCCCCCCACCACTTTCTGAACACGGCCCAGGAGGAAGGAGCGGAACCACTGTATGACAGTGCCCCCAGCTCCCAGCCCCTCAAGACGGTCCAGAAGGATGTTATGGTCGATGGTATCAAACGCTGCTGAGAGATCCAGCAGAACTAGGAAACAGCTCTCACCTTTGTCCCTAGCCCGCTGGAGATCATCAACCAGTGCGACCAAGGCAGTTTCAGTCCCATGATGAGGCCTGAATCCTGACTGGAAGGGATCCAAATGGTCCGCTTCTTCCAGGCGTGCCTGGAGTTGTTCAGCAACCACTTGCTCAATCACCTTGCTCAATCACCGTAAGAACTGTCCCTCTCCAGAGGAATAGAAATACCTAACAGACTTCTAGCCTGCCTTCAAAAAATACTTTTTTCTGGACTCAAAGCCTTGAAAGTTATATTGGTTTCAAACCAGATTGAACATCCAGCATAGATATGCCCATTCAAGCTCTGGACTTCAGACATCACATCCAATGGGTTCCCCCAACTCACTTTGGCTCTCTTTCTTGGGGTCAGCAGAAGTCTCTGTTGTCCTTCCTGGTGGGTCAGCAGCCACAGGTTCTTTCCCCCAAACTGGCTTAAGAGATCTCCTTGCTTCCACCTGGATCTTCTATTTGGCAGTCCTGGTTTTATCCTCTTCTGAAGGGGCAGCTCCTGCCTGGCTCAGAATTACCCAGCCAATCGGAGAGATGTTGATACCAGAATTGAGCCCATCAATATCAGGTTTCTGTATCCTTCTTCCAACTGGGCTTATGCGGTTGCTGACTCTCTCCCAAGAGGAAATAACATTTTGTTAAGGGTTGTATTACTTAATCCACAATAGCCAACAGCCAAGAGCAAGGAAGAAGTTGCATATTTATGGGCAGGTGAGAAGTTTATCTTGATGCCCTCAACTGCTACAAGGTGTGCATCTGAGCCGACATGCATGTCCAGCCCTCACGGGTATTCAACAACAGCTTTGGGAGGACCAAGATCTTTTGCTGGAATTTGTATGTGTGTCCAGTATTAATACGTGTTTGTCATGGACTGGTTGGATGCACAGGAATGGTGGAAGGAACCAGCTAGAGAACCACCAGGGGAAGAAGGCTCAGAGCCAGGGGACTGGTGATGGGACAATGAGGAGTGGTCAGAGGGAGAAGACTGAGAGGAGGAGGTGTGGGAAGCTGAAGCGGTAACAGGGTTTGGTGAGCAGGAAGAGTCTGCGGCAGAGAGAAGTTCAGACCAGGCCAAGAGGCAGAGTTGAGTCAGGCTGCTGAAGAGTCATGGGTGTCTCCCCCTTCTTGTGCTGGTCCCGTGGGTTACCCGAGAGGCGAGATCCAAGTCCAGTCCTTGGTCAAGGTGCAATGGGGAGGCAGTCCATAGTAGCAGAAGCTGGGTGCAGGGCAGGGAGCCGGGTGAAGTCAGGAACAGGCTTGCAAGCAGGGAGCCAGGGTGGGTCAGGAGCTCAGGCAGGAAAGCAGGACAGGGTCCAGGCAGGAACAGGCAACCAACAATTTTGCTCCCACAACTTGGGACTGGGGCTGGCTGGCTTTTATCTGCCCCGAGGCATAGGGCAGCCCCGGTCCACAGGTGACTCGCCCCTCCTGGCCTGGAGGCAAGCACTCCTCCTGTGGGAACTTAGTTCCCTCCGCCTCTCTGCCCTGAGCCTCTGCAGCTCAGGAGAGGCTGGAGGGTTACTGGACCCAGAGGCAACCTCAGGTTCCCCTGACGGGGCTGAGAGTGGAGCACCTGCAGGCAATGGGTCCTCCATCACCTCAGGGGCCAGAGCAGACTCAGCTGATGCCTGCACCTGAGGATGCAGCACAGGTGAGGACCCTTCAGGCTCAAGCCCCAGCCCTGGCTCAGCTGGTTCTGGAGGCAGGGAATCCTGTGCAGGCTGGGATTCCTCGGGTTCATCTGAATCCGAATCCCAGGCCATAACACTTCTGCTGTGACAAGCAGAACTAGAAGAGGGATGAAAAGGGCAGAGGAGATGTTGGCTTCACACAGGAGAAGTCTCTCATTGCTTGGGGAAAGCCCTGGAATCATAGAATCATAGAATTGGAAGAGACCACAAGGGCCATCGAGTCCAATGGAGAGGAGGGGACTTCTACGGCTGTGGGGGGGGGACTTTCAGTCTCTGCAACTGATGTTCATGGGAATGAGCTGCCTCTCTGCTCATTGGGCCTGGCATTCAACCAAGTCTTGCTTTTGCTAATCAAGAGTTAACTCCAACTTTGAGCTGTACAATTGCTGACCAGCACATTCTGTAACAGTGTTTACCCATCATCTGATAACCATGAAGGTGTTGCACTTCCCAGGAACTGAAGAAAGCTATCTTTATTACACGAAATAAAAGAGACAGAGTATTTGGACACTTCTTCAGACAGCCCAATGTTGTAAAAAATAATAATGGGGT